ATATGTTGATGATATACACGGACTTCGCAAAGGCTTTCGATAAATGTGACCATGGCGTGATAGCACACAAAATGAAGTCAATGGGAATAACCGGTAAAGTAGGACGCTGGATACTCAGTTTTCAGTCAAACAGGACTCAGCGAGTAACGGTCAACCATATAAAATCTAGTCCAAGTGCAGTTAAAAGCTCTGTACCGCAGGGTACAGTCCTTGCACCGCTGCTTTTCCTTATTCTCATATTAGATATAGACAAAAATACAAGTCACAGCTTCGTATCATCCTTTGCAGATGACACGAAAATCAGTATGAAAATTATCTCGGCTGAAGACATTGAAAAACTTCAAGCTGATATTAATAAAGTTTTCGACTGGGCATAAAAAAAAAACATGATGTTTAACAGTGATAAATTCCAGGTACTCAGGTACGGTAAAAATGAGGACCTTAAACATAATACAGGGTATAAAACACAATCAATGTACCCATAGTAGGAAAACAGCATGTAAAGGATTTGGGAATAATGATGTCTGACGACCTAACGTTTCGGGAGCATAACCAAGCAAATATTGCGACAGCCAGAAAAATGATAGGATGGATTACGAGAACTTTCAAATCCAGGGATCCCATCACAATGGTTGTATTCTTCAAGTCACTTGTGTTGTCCCGTCTTGAGTACTGCTCAGTATTCACTTCCCCCTTCAGAGCAGGAGAGATTGCTGAAATAGAGGGAATACAGAGAACATATACAGCACGCATAGACGCGATAAAGCACCTAAATTATTGGGATCGTCTCAAAGCCCTCCAAATGTACTCACTAGAAAGAAGACGAGAGAGATATCAAATAATATACACCTGGAAGATACTGGAGGGCCAAGTACCAAATCTACATAGTAAAATAACAACGTACTGGAGTGAATGATATGGAAGAAAATGTAGAATAGAACCAGTGAAGAGCTGGGGTGCCATAGGCACAATCAGAGAACACTGTTTAAACATCAGAGGTCCGCGGTTGTTCAACACCCTCCCAGCAAGCATAAGAAATATTGCCGGAACAACCGTGGACATCTTCAAGAGGAAACTAGATTTATTCCTCCAAGGAGTGCCGGACCAACCGGGCTGTGGTGGGTATGTGGGCCTGTGGGCCGCTCCAAGCAACAGCCTGGTGGACCAAACTCTCACAAGTCAAGCCTGGCCTCGGGCCGGGCTTGGGAAGTAGAAGAACTCCCAGAACCCCATCAACCAAGTAACCAGGTATCAACCAGGTCAGGATAAGGATTTGGGATGGGACGGTAGGGAAGGAATGGTGACCAACCACTTGGATGGTCGGGGATTGAACAACGGCCTACTCAGTGCCTACAAAATGCCCTACTCCTCAAAAATCCATTCTGACATAAAGAAACCTTATGAGTCTGTGTAATCTTAACTACTGCACTATTTAACTGCTGCAGAACCTACTGCCTTAGTTACGGGGGGATAGATGTAATAATTAACTAGGCCACTGGTGGAACTGTGGACACTAGCAAGAAAGGGAACTAGCTGTTCTATCACCTGCCTGGTAGTGAGTACACCCCACCCTTATCAAGCAGCTGGGAACAACCATGGACATCTTCAAGAGAAAACTAGATTGTTTCCAAGAAGGAGTGCCGGACCAACCGGGCTGTGGTGGGTATGTGGGCCTGCGGGCCGCTCCAAGCAACAGCCTGGTGGACCAAACTCACACAAGTCAAGTCTGACCTCGGGCCGGGCTTGGGGAGTAGATGAACTCCCAGAACCCTATCAAGCAGGTATCCCTTGTATGTGGCGCCCTTTCCCGACAGCGAGGCCGTTGGGGTCGACGCCTTTCGGCAGGACTGGTCGAGGTGGGGGTTCCTGTACCTGTTTTCCCCGGTTCAGCTGTTGCTCCAGGTCCTGACTCTCTTGGAGACTTACCAGGGGAGAGAAGTCTTCTTGGCCCACTGGTGGCCGGCCCAGCCGTGGTTTCAGTCGCTGCTTGCTCGGTGTCCGAACCCGGAGGTTTTTCCACGGCTCCGCCCTTCCAGCAGATTGGTCCTGTCCGCCTCGTGGCTTGTTTGATCTTCTCGAGTCTTCATGTATGGTATTTTTTACTCTAGTTTATCATCATCTCTATGGTTGTTAGGTGGCTTCCTTATTAGTTTCCCACCTGCAGGCTTCATCTTGGTGGCAGTATGAAGTTTCCTGGTGGTCCTTCCGATTCTTTTTGTGTCTTCGTCGTTGTGCTTCGCTTTCTGTTAGGGTTGTGTTGTCCTTTCTCTCTTGGTTGTTCCCGGACCGTCTCCTTATGCCTAACACTGTCACCTCGTATCGTGCGGCGCTGGCAGAGCCGCTGCAGCTTGCTTTTGGTATAGATGTCAAGTCTGCGTCATTTCGCAAGCTGTCTCGGGCATTGTTTCACCTCCGGCCTGCTCATGCACCACCTGAGCCGTCCTGGTCATTGGACAGGGTGCTCTCTTTTCTTTTTTCTCCTCATTTTGTTGTAGCCCCTTCGGTTCTGGATTGTTTTTCGAAGGCTCTTTTCCTGTTGGCATTGGCCTCTGGGGGTCGGGTTGGTGAGCTTCATGCTCTCCTCCGGTGCAGAAGTTTCTGCTCTTTTGGTCGGGGTGATCGTTTTGTACGTCTGCAGCCTTCTCCTTTTTTTCTGGCAACGAATGAGACTGCTGCTTTCTGGAGAGGTCCCTGGGTTGTTGATGCTTGGTTGGTTCAGCCGGGGGTGCATCATGTTTTGTGTCCAGTTGCGGCTCTCCGTTGTTATTTGCATGCCACAGCTTCTGTATCCGGTGGACGCGCTCTTGGTTGATCTGGTTTCCCTTCTTCCCTGTTCGCGGGTGCGGGTCTCCCGGGTCGTCCGCAGGTTAATTAAGGCTAGCCAGCCTACGATCTATCCCCGTGCCCATGACATCAGCAAGTTCGTCGCTCTTGCCGCCGTCTTTGGAAATTTGTCCTGGGCTGACATTCGGGCACGGGGATTTTGGCAGTCGAACAGGGTCCTGGCTGCTCGTTACCTTGTAAACGTTCCTGGGCCCAGTCGGGCTTGTGTTGCTTTGGGTCGGTGGATGCAGCCAGTTGTCTCGACTTCGCGTTGAGGAGTGAGCGGCAACCGCCTCCCGGGTAAGTCCCTATTCTCTTTCCTCTGTGGGTAGTTAGCTCCGGGGAGCTGTAAGCACTGGTTTTCTGGGAGCCCCTCCCAGAAAATAAAAAGCGGAGGTGCAACAGGTACTCTGAGAGAGAACTCTATCAACATCAGAGGCCCGAGACTGTTCAACACACTTTCGCTACACATAAGGGGCATAACTGACAATCCCCTCACAGTGTTCAAGAGAGAACTGGATAAGCACCTCCAAAGGATACCTGATCAACCAAGCTATGACTCATACATCAGGCTGCGAGCAGCCACGTCCAATAGCCTGGTTGATCAGTCCAGCAACCAGGAGGCCTGGTCGACGACCGGGCCGCGGGGACGCTAAGCCCCGGAAACACCTCAAGGTAACCTCAAGGTTGGTTGCAATTTTCACCAGAATAGGGGTTTGTTTTGGGACGCCTACCTTTCTGGTTGCCTAACCCGGTCGATGGCAGACATAGAATGCTTCCAATCACATGGGGGGTTCTATAGGCCATTGCTCCCCCTTGCCTCTCTAGAGGGGGCCAGGTTTTGGCTCGTGGTCCCCGGTAGGCCCACAAGAACTCCATACACATAACTGATGCCAAAGTCTGACCTTAGCCTATCATCCTAGTAAGCTCCGGGGAGCCTCTGGGATTCACCCAGAAAATGGCGTTTCATTACATTCAATGCTGGTTTTTTTGCTGCAGCCGGCTCCTTCTGTTCTGATGAAGAATGAGTCGGCAGGCTTTCAGTGTGGTCCTTTAGAGGTGGCTGCTTGGCTGGTTCGACTGAGAGTGCATGATGTGCTCTGTCTGGTGGTGGCTTTACTCCATTACCTTCGTGTCACTGGTTCTATTTCCGTAGACTTGTGAGTTGATCCGATTTCCCAGGTTCCCTGTTCCAGGGCTCGTATTTCTCGGGTTGTCCTCATGTCATTAAGTCTAGCCAGCCTGCAGTCTATCCTTGTGCTCATGATATCCAGAAGTATGTCGCTCTGATGGCTGTCTTTGGTAATATGTCTTGTGCTGATATTCGAGTGTGGTGGTTTAGGAGGTTGACCAGGGTCTTTGCTGCCAGGAATCCTGTTAACTTTTCTGGTCCTCTGTGGGCTTGTGTAGCTTTGGGCCGATGGTTTCTTCTTCTTCTTGATACCTGCAGTGCTGCCTTCTTACTGGTAAAGGCCCAATTTTGTCCTTGTCTATGGTTAGTTAACTTCAGGGAGCTAATGGGGCTCCCCACAGAAAACCAGCGTTGAATGTAATGAGATGTCGGAGTTTGAGTGAGCCCTGGAGGCTCTCTGACACCCTCCCTTTCCCAGGTCATTGGTGTATTTTATCATAATTGAACTGGACAGTGGGAGGCTCAGCTGACCTGGGCCAGCTCCCTCCCTCCCCAAATGAGGGGGGTAGGTGGGGCAAACTGACAGGGGGCTAATTTCACATAATTTTGGTTGGTTGTTTTCATTGTTGGCAAGGTTGTGGCCTCGGTGTCGTTTTTTAAATCATGGAGTAGCTTGTTTTAATTTGCCTATCTTTGTGGGTGCTTCCCTGGTGGTGGCAAAGATGATAAACTTTAAGTGTAAAGTGTTCATAGGCCATCACTCCCTTTGCCTCTGTAGAGGGGGGCCCAGGTTCTGGCTCTTGGTCCCTGGTGAGCTAATAGAACTCCGCAACTGATGACTACTAGTAGTATGGCACTTAATCAGTGTGATAGCTTCAGGGAGCCTCCGTGGCTTACCCAGAAATTGGCATTGTATTACATTCACGCTAGTTTCTTCAATTTGTTCAATTTAATGAAAATTAATGCTGATGAATTATTTGTACAGTATAATACAGTACAGTACAGTATTACCAACTGATGTGGTTAAAGAAATATATTCCAACAGGATGTTCTGTTGTTGGCAGTTTAAAAGTCTTGCAGCCATTCTGGGATATTCTTGGCCATGTAGCAAAAGGGGAAGAGCTGCTACAGCAAACTCCTACAGAAGAGGAGAAAGAAGAAGCAATAGAAGCAGCAGCTGCACCACTCATGGCATTAACAGCAACATATCAAGGTAGTAAACTGGAGTGTTTTTTTTTTAAATTGTTATAAATATACGTACAGTTTATTTACAACATTATTCAGTTCAGACTGAGTTAAATGATTAATTTCTTGTGTTTGGCACATTACTGCAAATAGAAGTACTGTAATTGGTATCCCATTTTCAGGGACAGAATGTCTGTTAGGCTTATTGAGGTCCCTAAAGAGCAATATGATCTGTACCAGGATGTTACCCACAACAGTTAGCTATTTCCAAGGTACCTATTTTAATGCAAGGTATAACAGAGGCATCAGGTGCAAGTAAATGTGCCCAAATGTTTCAAACCCAGGACCTTTCAGTTGTGAAATGTGCAATGTTTTGTGGTATCTCACTCTACTACTCCCTGAAGTAAGTTCTGCTGTGTGTGTGTGTGTTGGAGATAACAGATAGATAGCTAGACAGATAGATAACAGATAGCTCAAGATAACCTCAAGATAACCTGGACATAAATGTACACTCTCAGACAGGATGACATACATACCTGCTTGTCCTGTACTACAAATCCTACCTGTTTCAGGTGCTTCATTGGGCAAATACTATCAGGTAATCCACTAGAGATTACCTCCCAAGAGTCAATAAACATGGAACTACAAAGTTAAAAAAATTGAGTACTGTATTTACATCCAATTTCTCATCCAATCATATATTTCTGCAGTTACTGCAAGTGGTATGGGCCTGTCAGGGTATCCTCATACCACACATGATCATGTGGTACTTACGGCTGCTAATGATAAGTGGTTACAAAGGACTGTCGGTCTAGGTCCAACCTCCAGTGATTCGTACATAATGTTACAGAAAAATTTGCCATGTTGCATATACCTACAGCTTGTCTGCAGAATGCTTATGATGTAAAATCACTTTCTTCCAAACAGTCTGTGCAGTTTTTTTTTCTGGGGGAGTGGCTCACTGAATCTGTATGCTGAAATGATTACCATCTACTGGGCCACATCAGCCACAGAGTTATAGAGGCCTACTGGGGACCATAGACACAACCCAGACACACAGAGATACGCAGAGAGACACAGAGATACAGAGAGCGGCAACATTTATTTTTCCTACTTCACCGGGAAAGACAACCAGAAAGTCAGTGAGTTAAACTACTACAGCGGAACCTTGATTGACAACTGCCCTAGAAGACAAATTTTTTTGAACACGACATCAAATTCGTCGTAAAGTTTGAATTGGTGCACGACGGTTTACTTAGCAGACAAAGTCTGTTTATATGCATATGGGTTGAACGAGCGCATGGTGCTGGTGGCGCGGGATGAGGCACACTGTTTACAAGCCTATGACGCGTAGTGACGAGTGCAGCTGCGCTTGAATTCTTTGTGAAGAATTTCATTGTATGCCTGCTTTTCTGGGGGGGGGGGAGCTCCATTGGTGCCCCAGAGCTATCCAGGCTGATATGGATATATTAGACTTTGGCATCAGTCAGTGTGAATGGAGTTCTTTGGCCTACCGGGGATCACGAGCCAGAACTTGGCCCCCCTCAGAGAGGCATGAGGAGCAATGGCCTATAGAATTGCATATGTGATTCGGAGCATTCTGTGTCTGCCATCTACCGGGTTAGGCACCCAGAACAGTAAGCATCCCAAAACAAACCCCCTATTCTGGTTGAAACTGCTACTGAAAGTCAAACGAGTGGACAGAACTCCTCAAAGAAAAACAAGCAAACAAGCATGACATCACCATGTCATGCTTGTCTGCGCAGCCATCTGCGCAGCTCCCCCCTTCCCGGTAGGGGGAAGAGGGAGCCTCTGACCTCTCGCGCTAGCTATCCACACCTTCAGTTCTCGGCTAATGTGTTTGAGGCTTGGTCGTGTGACTCCAGCTCCCGATTCTTGTGTTTTCAGTGGTGTGCCTTGTGTCTAGGGATGTCTTCAGGGTGGTGCATGAGCTGGGAGTAATTTCACAGGTGCTTGGGCTGCATGCGTTTAGTGTTGCCTTCCCAAAGGGCCACTGTAAGTGCCGCCCTTGGGACTTGGGGCCATCTTCCACAAGTCACCTTTGAGTCTACCTCTGTTTGGTCTTTTGCTGTTCGGTAATTGACTGCCCTGAGTCTGTTGAGGGGGTTTCCTCCTCCCCTATTTACTTTAGGGTAAAAGGTAGTTTGCACTGGTAGAGGCATGGGGTACTGCACAGCTCATTATTACCTATTATAGCGGCTGGCTATGTTCTGCCTGGGTATGTTGTTCTCTTGTGGGATTTCTCTTTTGTTTTTGTTTTCCTACCTGGTGGGGGTCTGCCTTTGGTTGGTTGCCCACATCTATACTTAGGATTATATACATATCTGTGTTTCTGGGTGGTACCCCCTGCTAGGCCCTTGTGAATAGACACATCCCGGGGAAGCTTCAGCTTTTAGATGTTTGATTGGTAGACTTGGGCGCTGGTTCCCAGTACCCTGCCTGGGCTTCACCTTACCGACACCAGTCTAAGGGCCCTGGGAAACCCCACGGGGGCTCAAGGGATCCGATGAATGTTAGTCCATCGGACCCCTCTCGCCTTGTGTTAGTTTGAAGGTTGCTCTGTCCCCTTGTCTCAGGGTGACTCTCATTGTTTTTGCCTCCGTCATGCTGCCTGTTTGGTCGGTGACACCTTCGACCTGGAGTCCTGCGAGTTTTGTTGCTTGTTAGTTACTCAGTTCACCCAGTCCACTGATGACTATTCGGGTGCAGGCAGCTCAGGTGTTGCATGTTAGATACAGGTTGCTGCAATGCACAAGGTTGATTGCTAACCCGGAAGCCCAAGGCTGCCCCGTTTTGCTTATAGGGACCCAGTCTTGAGGGTGTTGGTCGCTTCAGCCTTGGTTCAGTCCGCACCCCCTCATTCTTCCCTTGCTATGGTGCATTCTGGTCCTCTTCCCGGCTCCAAAACGTGTGAGGGCTTCAGGGTTGGGGCAGGGTTTAGAAGGTTCTTGGGGGGCCCAAGGACCCACAAGCTGACTTGGGGACCTTGAACCCCGTTGGACCCGGTTGGACCCCGCCTGGCTTTTTCTACCCTCTGAGCGGGGCTTACTGTTGCAAGGAGTGGGGGTTTTCTTTTTCCCCCTTTGCGTATGATTTGAATTTAGTGTCGGCCTCTCCATGGGTTCGGATCCGTGTCCCTTTGGGTCCGTCGGTCCCGTCTTTCTGGAGGTTTTCGGCTTCCCGCATCCTGCCTCATGAGGTGCGAGGCGGCCATTGCAGCTTACCTCCTGCACAACTCGAATTACACCTCTATAATGGATACATCTTCATTTGGGTTTGGATCTTCGTCTCCCTACTGGGTTCCTTTATGAGGTTCCGGAGTCGTCCTGGCTAGTGGACTGCACTGTGTTGTCTTTGGATGCTTAGAGTACTTTCTGTCATACCCACACACTTGAGTGGCACGAGGTGCTGACAGTGGTCCAGGTTTACGGGGGGGGGGGGGGGGCAACTTCGAGCACCTCAATGCGTGTTTGTTCACCCTGCCTTTCAGCGGGATGTTGGCATGTTGCAGCTTTAGGTGCAGGTTCCCTTACTTTTGCTGCACTGGTTGCTGAGGACTTGCGCGCTTGTTGCCTGCTGGATTCGGTCTAGTGATTCTTTTTCCTCCTGGAGCTGTCTTCGGATTGGCTTGAGGCGGATGTGGAAATGTTTGGGGCTGTTCCTAAGTCTGGTGCCTTGGTTTCAGTGGCACGCGCGTCGTCCGCGCTGTTGAAGTTGTTTGTGCCAATCCTGCAGGATGTGGTGTCGCTGTTTTTTGCTTTGTGTCTCGCATGTCGGTATGTGGTTCTCGCTTCTTCCTTGGAATCTGCTTGGGCACTAGCTCTTAAGTTTTCGTTACCATTTTGTCCCTTGCTTTTTGTAGAATCTGCTGCTGGGCAATATCTGCAGGCAGCCTCTTCCAGTTGTCGCCTGATGTTGGACTTGTTGGTTCGTCGGGGGTCCCGGGGAAGGTGGGGTTCCTCCCAGAAGGGTCGCGCCAGGGCTCAAGGTTTCCCTCATCATGGTAGGTCGCTGGTACCAGTTTCTGTGCCGGCGCCATCTTCAGACCCGTCTTCGTCTGGTCGGCATGGTGATTGCTCTGTGCATAAGTCGGACTCTCACAAGAGGCGTCGGCTCTTTCGTGGCTCGCCCCATTGACGTGGCGATGGGGAGGAGGCTCGTGCTGGCTGCTCACGCCTGGTCTCACTATTTGTGGGGTTTGTGGGCTTTTGGGCAGGCTTCTTCTGCACTGTCGGGTCATATTGGGTGTGGTCGTAACGATGGCATCCCTCAGGTGGGTTTCCCGTCTGCTTCCAGTCCTGAAACAGGACTGTGCGAACCTGCGGTTTATTCGGGACTCGTCCCTTCTGAATCCCTGGGTCTATTGCCCATCTTTTCGGATGACTACTCTGTCCCAGGTCCGGCTTCTGTTGAAGCTTGGCACTTGGATGGTGTCCCTTGGACCTCCAAGATGCGTATTGGCACATCCCGATTCATCCGGGGTTCTGGAATTGGTTCGGTTTTGTTGTTGGGCGTCTCGGTTACCACTTTCGTTGGCTCCCGTTCGGGTTGAACCTGGCACCTTGTGTGTTCACACACCTTACCCGGGTCATGGTAGCCCGTCTGCGTCTTTTAGGTCTTCGAGTGCTGGCCTACCTCGATGACTGGCTGGTCTAGTCTCCCAGCCAGTCCGCTTGTCTGCTCGCCAGGGATCTGGTCCTTTCCCAGCTCTCCAGGTTCGGGTTCCTGGTGAACTGGCAAAGTCCCATCTGGTCCCCTCTCAGGTTTGGACTTGGCTGGGTCTTGTGTGGGACTCTCACCTCTTCCTTATCTCTCCCTCCAGATTCTCTGCTTTGGCTAAACTTCCGCCTTCGCTTATTCCTGAAGGGCTCCCAGGTCATTTGGCAGTTGCTCGAGAGTTTGTACGGGAGCCTGATCTTTGCCATGATGGTCTACCTGCTGGTTCAGGTTTGGCTTTGTCGGCTGTTTTGGTTCCTTCGGGGACGTCCCTTCTACCTCTCTAGCAAT